TCCTACAGCACCGTCTGCACCGGTGGCACCAGCTGGCCAGTCTGAAGAGCCAGACCTTGCTGCCGACACTGCTGAGGTAGTGCGTCAGATGTTCGCTAACCCAGCCACACTCAGAGTTGAGGATGATACGATTCAGTTGGCTGATCCTGAGGGCGATGACATTGCTGGGGACACAGAGATGTCCAAGGAGCCATAGGGAGTTTTCTTCATTCTTTCCCCTCTTTTACTTTTATTTTGTTAAGCATTGAGGACAATGCTTATCTTTATTCAGGGGGTGGAGTTTATTTATCATATTTGATACATTCTGAGACATTTGGCCTGTAATAACTTTATATTATTTTCTCTTTTCTTATTATGTATATATTCTCTCTCTTTCTCTTATTATGTATATTCATTCTATCTTCAGTAGTTTTTGCTTATTAACTTCTTTATTTTTGTTTCTTTATTACTTCTATGTTTGATTTAGTAGCTTCTTTTTATATTTTAGTAGATAATAAGCCTTTAGTTTTTTTAATGCCACGGTTCTTTTCAAAGGTAGTTGTTGTGTAAACCGGGTGACTCGTCCCAACGATGGACGGCATGACAAACTTCTTAAGGGAATGAGTCTGTTTTTGTGTTTAGGTAATAATAGTAGTAGTAATGAATAAAAAGACCAAATTAAGTCATTCTCGAAGAGTCAACCATTCTTCAATTGGTACCAACACATTTAACTGCGTGCTTATGTTTAGAGACAATGTTTTTGAAAGAAATAGCTCTAGTTAGTGACTTTGTGACTATTGTGTTGACTTTGACAATCATCAAGTGGTTTAATTGAACCATAGTGATCTTTAAACTTGAATGTGATCATTATGGGCCCTCGACTATGTCCTCTTTAACAATTCGGTTGCGTGAGGGGTGAGATAAATTGTTACTAGTCCAAGTATCCGTGCGAAGGGTCTGAGCTTGCCCCGAATGTGTTTCAAGGCAAAATCCTAAGTTTTGCTTGGTTTGACAAGTGATTGTAGGCTCTCCTTGGCCCATTTGAGTTTTCTATTGCCAACCAATTTCATTATCCCCAGTCAACCCCTTTGAGCCTCTAGCCTTTCTCATTTGATAACCATGTTACAAGCCTTACCCATTTGGTCGTGATCCTCTCTTGTCACCCGAGCTTTCCTTAACACTCTCGTGAAACCAATGGCTTAAAACGCAAGGGAGAGACGAGGAACTTGAAAAAGGTATCAAGGAACAAAAAGACAAAAGAAATGATCTCTATGAGAGGAGAAGGCAATAAAAGAAAAGAACAAAAAGAAAAATACAAAAAGTGAATAAGTGGAAGGGTTGAATGGATTCAAAAATAGGTAATGATCCTAAACATGGAGAAATCAAAAAGGCAGAAAAAAAAATGATCAAGAAAGAGTGATGTTAAGTCTCTCTAGTCTTCAATAAAAAGAAAGTGCCTCTAAGAATTGGCAAAATATGAGCCGAGAAATGAAATATGGAGTGCTTAGGGAAAGGTGTAACCACTCACCCATATTGTATCCGACCCTAATCCAAAAGCCTTCATTACATCCCGAAAGAAGTCATACTTGATTTCAAGCTGAGTGAGCTTACATTAGTGGCGATCTACATGAGGGGCAAGCTTATGGTACTTAAGCCGTACTTGTGGCATTCTCTTGAGAGAGATGAGTGAACCTTTCATAAATCTTTGGATCGAGTGCTAAATTTCTTAAGTTAGCCTGGCAAATGGAAAGTAGAGGAGGAAGAGTTTGGAGTCCACCATGACCTACATGACATAGCAAGAGTCCTTGATGAGTAAAATCAATTCTTGAAGCTCAAATGTCACATTAGAACTATATGTGCATGAATGTTTAACTTGTCGCCTTATTGATAATACATGAGTAGTGTGGGTAATTGTTGATCCCAACTGATATGTGGATGGCTCATCTTTGACTCGCTGAAATGAACCTTAACTTTTGGTGGTGGGAACTAATTTATTTGCTTGAGGACAAACAAAGACTTAGGTTTAAGGGAGTTGATAAGTGGGGATTTTGACTGCTTACTAGCACCTTTTAGCTTTTGTTTTAGTCCTAATGTATTGAATTGTGTTCCCGAAACTAATGAAATTGTGCAAAAATACAGGAATGTTGGAAGTTTGGTCTCCCGAGATGAAATCTGACTCAAAAAAGTGTGTTCCGAAGCACAACACAATAAAGGGCGCAGAAACACAAATGTGCGATCCGCAGTTCTGCGGCCGCAAAAGAAATTGCGGACCGCAAAATTCCATCTACGGCCGCAAACCAAGAAGAAAAATCTAACAGAACTTTCAGCAATGTGTGGATCGCATATGAATTGTGTGGCCGCAGAAGTGGGCTAAGAGTCAAATATCAAAGAGTATGCAAAAATACAGTCCAGGAGCCTTTGTGAATTGCGGACCGTATAAGAATTGTGAGGCCGCAGTCCAAAAATGTGCGGCCGTAGAAGATTGCCTTGCGGTCGTAGTTCAGAAATGTGCCGCCGCAGAACTCCACTTCCTGTCAGCTGAAGAAATCTACGGACCGCACATAAAATTGTGTAGCCGCATAACCTCCCGAGGGACATTTTTGTTCGTAATTTTCAGCCCTATATAAATAGACGAGTTTTACAAAATTTGGTCAAGTTGGAACATCTGAAGCTGCTGTAGCAGTTTTTCTTTACTATTTTAGGAAGTTTTACATTATTTTGGTGTTTTAACATTAGATTTCATTATTTTAATCTTCCATTATGAGTTTAATTAGCTTTTCTTCTCTATTTTCTGCAATTTTCATTATGAGTAGCTAGACTTTTACTAGGTTTGTGACCCAACTCTAGTATGTAAACCTTATGAGTATCTAATTTAGTGCTTGTTTATGATTGGGTGTTGATTATTTAGCTTAGTTAATACTTCAATTTTAGAATTAATGGTTGCAAACATTGATTCATGCTTATTTGACTTAGTCTCTACTTGAGAAAGATGGACCTAGTCTAGGCTAACTTAGCTAACAAGGAATTGGATTAATTAAGAGATTGATTAACCTAATTAAAAGGTTCAAACTAGAGATAGTAATAACCCGACTTGAGCTCTTATCAACTGTTTTGGTTGATACCTATTTGAACTTGAGAAAGCCAAATTGGGAAAAATCACTCTTTAATCGAGAGGTATTGAGTGGGTAGCATAGAGTTGAGAGTTATAAGACACCCCAATCAACAAAACAAGTATTAACGTCTTTATCCCATTAGGCAAATACTTAGGTTATGGTCACAGCCTAGGCCTGTAATCCAATTGGAAAAACCTCAAAAATATTTATTTATAATCTATTTTCTTTATCTTGCATTCATTAGAGTAACAGTAGAAATAGAAAATAAAACCTTGTTGTGGAAGTGCAATCTTAGATAACCCATTTGTTTGCTTTAAATATATACTCCTAGCTCCCATCATAACTCCCAGTGGATTTGACCCCAACTCCTAGTTGGTTTATTATTATTGATTACGACCGTGTCATATCGCTTATTGAGGTGTGTTGTGAACGTGATCACCCACCCCAGCCCTATCTGGGCTGCGGGCCCTTACGGACCGGCCTATCATTTTTTAAAATATAATTTTATATTTTTTCTTTAAGTTCTAACCTAAAAAAAGATAAATATTTAAAAGTTAAAAAAATCTTATTGAAAAAATTTCACAAAACTTAATAACTTTTTATGCTGTTCCAATATATAACAAGAAACACTAAAAAAATAAAAGACAAGACTATATTTCATTCAGTAAAAGTCAAAACTCAAAACAAACTATTCAAGAGAACGTCCATGACGCTTATGGGATATCTAATACATCATCTTCATCAAACACATTTGAATACGCTTGTGAGAAGGTTGTCTTAACATCTTCGCTTTTATCTACATCTACAATTCATATGAAATATTAATTAGTTAAATACTAAGAATAATTAAATTTTAAAAATCAATTAACGCTTTAAGACGTTGATCTTTTAATATGATGAGCTTAATAAACTTTAAGCTTGGGATATTCTTCTTGTTATTTTTAGTGTCATTTACTCTTTATATTTTATATATTTTAAATATATATTTTTATTAGGCCCACGGGCTAGTCCAGCCAGCCTCAGTCAAGCCTCACGGGCCACAGGCTTACTCGAGCCGAGATTAAAAGTCTCGTTTTTAAATGGCCCCCAAAAATTCTAGCCCAATCCTGCTAAATCACAAGCTGAGCCGGGCTAGCCCAACGGGCAAAGCCCATATTCATGGCTCTAATCACTTGGTACAACATAACCAAAGAAATTTCTTGGTTTAACCATGGGTAAATGGGAAATACAGATAGTAGTAAATCTCAGTACTGGAGGAGATTTTGCATCTAATTAAGACTAGAGATATATCATTTAACTTAATTAGCACATATTAATGGCCATCATGAATTGGATTCTAGGAGATTATTAGGTGCCATTGATACATAGATAATTCACCAACAAAAAGATCGTCGCAATTAAGGTTTGGATTAGAAAAGGGGGAGTTTCATAATATATTTTAATTGCATATGGTGTTAAATGGTATTTTCAATGGACATACCACATAAATTTCACTTAAAAAAATTGTAGTCTTCTCTTCTCAGGTCGAAAGACTAGATAATAATGTCGCAAGTAGGGGTAGGCATAAAATCCGAAAAATTAAATTTCGAACCGGACCGAATTAATTCGGTATTTCGATTTTAATTTTTTTGGTATTTCGGTCTAATTCGGTATTACATTTTCGATATTTTGGCATTACGGTACGGTCCTCGGTATTAGGATCTTGAAATTTCGGTATACCGAAATACCGAATTTTTAAATTTTTTTTAAGTTGGACCTATAGTTAGCTAAACTGCCCAGCCCAACACTTTTTAAAGACTTTCGAATCTAATGCCCAGCCCACTGCCCACTCCAGCGCCCCAGCCCAAGCCCACTCTCTAGTCTTTGTCTTTCATTCAATTAGGGATTAGGCATTACTCATTAGGGAATTAGAATTTAGAAAGTTAGAACTCAGAAAGGCAATTAGGGCAAATGGCGTCGGCGTCTCGGCGATATTTTCAGCTTCAGGCTTTCAATTAGGGTTATAGTTTCAGAAATTCAAAAACGGGCAAACGAAGACCGGCTGTTGTGACTTTAAAAAGATCGGTTGTTGTGACTTCAAAGAATCAAAGGTATGTTTCTAGTTTCTTCCATAATTTACTTGAAAGCTTTCTCCTTTTTAAGGTTTTATTAGATTATTGGGTATGTGTCTTACTGTCTTTACAAAAAAAGATTTATACTTTTTAATCCCTTTTTTTTTGTAGTTTTTTATTTTATGAAGAACATGTATATTCTTTTGTGCTGGAATTGTTAAAGATTGGATTTTTCTTCAGCTCTCTACCAGTTTTTCTTTGATTACCTTGAAAAAAATTTAGGTAAATGCAAAATATCATCAATTGCATTCAGAAGATTTCAGCGATCTGTTTCTATTTCTAATAAAGTAATTGTTTGTGCCCTGTCTACTAGCATTGTTTGAAGTTTGAACTTTGATGTATAGTTGCAACTTGCAATATGAGTGGTAAGTTTAATACTCTATTTGTTTGGTGATATACTTTTGTAGTTTTGTTTTATTATCATCAAAAAAATAATATTCTAACTTATAATTTATATTATTCTTTTAGGTGCTCCTAAAGTACACTCTCATATTTGGGAATACTTTGAGGTGAAAGAAGATAACGGAGAAGTTCGCAAAGTAGAGTGCAAACATTGTGCTCGAATCTATAATGTCCATTCAAAGAGGGATGACACATATTGTTTAAGGAAGCATATTAGGCATTGTTTTGAGCGTCTTCTTGAAATCCGTATTTAAGAATTAAGACTAAGTTGATTCGAGACTATTAGTGTGAACTTGAATTGAGGGATGCTCTCTGTTTTTGTTGTTTTTGTTGCACTATTATGTGTTTAATTCTGCTGCTTGTTAGAGTCTGCTGCTACTGTTAATTATGTTACTGCTACTGTTAATGCTGCTACTGTTAAGTGTTAATTCTGCTACTGTTATTCTGTTAATGCTGCCACTGTTGCATATATTTTACAAACTTTTAAAATTTGCCTTCCTGTCCCTGTTGTCGCATGTTTGTTGAATAGGGGATTAAGGCATTAAGCCACAAGAATGTGAGTTGGCTCCAAATGCCAGCATTAGAAAATAGAAAATGCATCATGTCTATAAGTCTATTTACTTCTTATTGTATTTCTTCATTTCTTGGCTGAACAGTTACAACATTGAAACATAGGAGAATTGTCACTTGTTATTGTTGCTTATTTAGCGAATATTAAACCGAAACCGTACCAAAATCGTACCAACCAAAAGAAGAAATATCGAACCATACCGAAATACTTTGGTACGGTATTTGGTATACACAATTGATAAACCGAATACCGAACCGAAATACCGAATGCCCACCCTTAGTCGCAATTGTCACCAATATCTACATTATAAACTCTCGTACAAGTTGGAAGGACGTGAAACATCCCGTTATTATACGGTGGAGGAGACAAATACAAAAAAAATGAACGATAATTAGTTTAGAGATATAGGTAAAACATTTATGTCTTTTTCCCCCTCATTTCCTCCCCTTAGCTTCTTCTTTCTTTCTTTTTCTTTTTCGTCCTCCACCATACCACTCCATCACCGGGGGTCGTTAATGATACACGATGAAATTAGATGAAATACCATCTTGATTTAAGAGGGAAAAAGAAACAATACAAACTTTTCGAACAAGTCAAGAATTTCAAAAACTTGAATATTTGAGTCTTTGACCAATCAATGTTGTGATTATAAAATCGTTACTCTTATCCTAGAACCGTTAAACGTGAATTTCTCCAATCTGAGCGTGACTACTGCCGTACCATGTTATTTCCTCTTCAGTCTTCAGCTACTTCATAATTGTTAGGGTATTAAAATATAAATATCATGCGTTTATGAAATGATATATTGTAACAAGGTAAGAATCTTCCATAACTATATATAGTAGGCTTTTTTACTACCACGATATTTGCGTGATTCTATATAAAGCTTCCATATTCGTTCATGTACTTATATACAATACATTCTTTTAGAATCCTATAACTATTAGCTAAAGCATTAATCGGTTAAGTCTAGTGTTTATGACTTTATGGAAAGTATAAGAACGAAAAACTGTATTACAAGATTCTTTCCTTGTTTTTTTTTTGTCGTACCAAAAAAAAGAAGGAAAGAATCTTGTCTTACGTTTTTTGGTTATTACATCAGTTCTACTTTATTACCATATATATAGTATTAGGAATGATAACGTAAACTTTCCGTATTGATTCTTATACTTCTTCTCTATGTAAAAAAAAAATATATATATATATATCTATATATATATATCCTTGAGTTAAGGGGACTTACCTTTTACCATAACCTATATAAAGAGGTACCTTGATTGGCAAAAAGCAAAGGTTTTAGATCCTCTTTTTTACCCATCTATTAGAACCCATGTCTGTATTTGAGAACTTCACCTCAAGAATATGGAGTGACATCGTTCTTTTACTTTTTCTTATGGAGGGCTTAACCAGTAGTTTTGCCATTACTGATCGAATGATGATCATGAAAGAAGAGCATAAACTTACACAGCTACAACAATCAAAAAATGGACCGCAAGTCCTTCGCGATGAAAGGCGTTTCTTGAAGAGTAATGTTCTACCATATGTGCTGTCTCATGGTGGACATGATGACGAAAGGAGTAAAAATCCACCACTACAACATGGGCATTTCTTGAAGAGTAATGTTCCACCATTTGGGCCGTCTCATGGTGGACATAATGACGGAAGGAGTAAAAATCTACCACTACAACATGGGCGTTTCTTGAAGAGTAATGTTCCACCATCTGGGCCGTCT